AATGTAGTACGGTCGGGTAGGAGGGCATGAGCCAAAGTTGTTGATTGCGGGCTCGATTCGGGGAATCCGAATCTCAGGCTTCCCATCATTGCATGTGGTATCAGAAACAAGGAGCGGAATGTTCTGTCCAACCCGTGTCCACGAGTAGACGGAACTAAGTCGTTCGAGTTTGGTTATGAAATATTTCATTTCTTTGATACTAGATTTACTGTCTACACTTGATTTGCCCACAAGAAATACTTATTGAATAAACATTAAATCCCTAGAAGTCGAAGGCCTCCTTTTACAACCCAGTCATGTAGTTTATGAGACGCGAAAGTATGTTGAAAAGAAGAAGAGGGTATCAAGGTTCGGATGATGTACGGCACGCGCGTCTGACCTTAGCAGAGGGCGGAAGGGAGATTTTGGGAGCTCAAAGGGCAAGGGCAGCCAAGCCCAGAGCAGCAGCACCAGCCATAAAGCTGATGCCATTGAAAGAGGCACTGTTTCCAGTCTGGCTGGCAGGAGCAGCAGAGCCGGGAGTAGTACCTGCGGCCGATCCTGAGGTAGTAGGAGAGGCACCAGTAGAAGATGCAACACCACCCGTGGGGAAGTTAGAAGGGATGGAGGTCAGGGTGACGCCCTGTTAATGCGTGTCGCGTTCGTGTTAGCGCCTGGGATATTCTTGGCAAAGAGAAACTACGCACGACTACGGCACAGAGTTGTTGGGCAGCAGTGAGGGCGGCTTGGAGGTCGGAGCCAGTGCACTGCGTGCCAATGCAGGTGGTGGTGGAGTTGACAAACTTTTGGCTCTTGCACAAGCAGGCGTTATCCGTGGGTTGACAACCGCCAAGGTCAGCAGACATGATACAGGAGTTGGCACATTCTGAGCATGAGCGTTAGAGGATAAGAAATGGGGGATATGTATAGGGTGCACGTACGAGGAAGTTGGCGAGCAACGAGGCTGGCGGAGACGGAGGAGGCGAGAGTAGCAACAGCGACAGCGACGGAGAAACGCATGGTGGTGAAAGGGAGTTGTCAAGAGGACGTGTAGATAAGAGAATGGAGTTATTGAGTCAACTGCTGAGGTCGGAGTTGAGAACCTAAGGCTGGGGAAATCTTGGGAGGCTACCTGAGCTTATATAGAGGGGAGGGAGCAGATATCCCAGGCACCCCAGACCTGACATGTTGCTATGTTTGGAAGATACCTCAATTCCCTGGCATTGTACCTTCCGGGTGTCTGCCACGCGAAGAAGAACGGGGATCTGATCGCTCTTACACCCAGTGGTGGACAATGGAATAAAGGAATGTGCACTTTTAGCACAAAGGCGTCAAAGTTCAAACAGCACCCCTGATGGCCTGATGGAGACGGTTATCTCCTCCGGGAACAGAATACCACGTGTGCGATTGCCGGCATTGGCCGGCCAACTGTGAAGCCACTGAACCTTGTTTTATTTACACAACGCAAGGAACCAAACAAACTACCGATCCAGGAGTCCGTTTCGCCTTTGCTCATCGACACCAACATCCGCAAGACATGGTCCGTCGTTATGTTCTTTATTCCACTAGCAAATTACTGACAAACTTTTGTAGGCCCCCACCAACCCCAAGAAAAAGGTACTGGCCTTGTAGACGTCCCCATGCTGCCAATCTAATACATCCATCTTCGATCATCAGACCAGCGGCAAGACTCGCTCTGCGCTCCAAGACGTCGTCACCCGCGAGTACACTATCCACCTCCACAAGCGTGTGCATGGCCGCTCCTTCAAAAAGCGCGCCCCCTGGGCCGTGAAATCCGTTATCGACTTTGCTCAGAAGGCTATGGGCACCTCGGACATCCGCGTCGACCCCAAGCTTAACCAGGCCGTCTGGGCACAGGGCATCAAGTCTGTTCCGCACCGGCTGCGTGTCAAGCTCGAGCGTGAGTGGGATTACAGTTGGGATATGAGAGTGTTGCTAACGAGGTTTTAGGGAAACGTAATGACGATGAGAATGCCAAGGAGAAGCTCTACACCTATGTTTCCCATGTCCCCGTAGCATCATTCAAGGTGAGTGGTGGTGGTTCTAGTAGTCCAACGAAAGACTTATGACTGTTCATATAGGGCCTCCAAACAACGGTTGTTGATGCGGAGTAAATATTTAGCTGTACATCCCTCGCCGGTCTTTTGCTCTTGTTGTCGTCCCTCCATCACATGTCAGCCATATACGCATGCCCTACGCCCTCCCTTATGCTATGCTCTGCGATCCCTCCCAAAAACTCCATGCATGATCTCGAAAGTCTCATCAGTATGATGATTGTCAGTTGTAAGTCCATCAACACCGAAGCGAACAACGGCTCGAAAACGCCATCCTCGATTCTTCGAAAGCGGTGGTACTATTACTGGCTTTTAGGAATCAAGAATGGACATCGGGTTTCTTGAGGTCTCCGGAATTGTTTGGTCGGCTGGTCGGCTTCAGTCATCAGAATCTATAATCTATAATCGTGCCTGGGTGCTTCTCACCTTGGCCCTTTACTACCCCACCCGTAATTACTTTCAAACTACTGTCACTAGAAAAACCTTTCATTTATCAAACTGTTACCAACTGGAGCGCAGTGCGAAAAACTGGGATAATCACGACATCAATGGAGAATGGGATCCCTTCCGTTGGGCATTCTTCAGCTGTTTGGGGGCTCATATTATGACACCTTCATATCTGATTACCTCTTTCCATCATATTAAGTTGATGGTTCACCGGGGGTTGGTCATGTCGTCTTACAGATGAATTGAAGAACGTACAGGAATGGCATTGGTGAGAGACTGTAGGAGTAGAATGGGGAACCCAAAGGGATAGGTTACCAACGGCCATCTGCCGAGATTGTGGCAGTGCCGGCTGGATCGGTTGTACCTAGTGTTAGCTGGTGGGCGAAGATTTAAGAGCAGCGAAGTTCTCGACTCTCGGTACTGTTACGCCGGTCAATTTGCTTCGGTAACCCGAAATGATCAATAGCCTAACTAACATGTATCTTGCCACCTTCCACCTGTCTTGATATGACGTCCTCATATCGGCTTTCGTTGAGGTGAGTCACTATGTCGGTGAGTGGTTTCAGTCGTGATGGAGCTATAGAGTAGGAAGGTATATTAGTTGCTATGACCTTTTTGTATCCGCTGTGTCCTTCCCCATTCTTTCTCTGCGATGGTTTCACAGAGCAATGTTGGCCTTGCTGCAGGCAGCTTAACGTCCACCAACTTGGTCTCTATGTTCATCGAATGCGCACTCTACGGGATCTTTATAATTTTGTTTATTATCTCCACCTCTCTACTTATTTTCCGATGGCAGTCGTTAAGCAAAAAATCCCGGAATGTGGTCCAGAAAAAGCAGCGATTATCACTCCTTTTATATCTCTGCTGTGGCTTCATGATGTTCCTGACCCTCTCGGGGGTGAGTGCTCGGGATTTGCTTCGCCGTGCAAATTTACTGGTAAAGCTGATACTGTATATTCATATGTCAGGCCTGGGCCCTTTCTTGGATAAGGATACTCAAGCCAGCGTTGGTGGGCCTGGGATCTGGGTCTGGCCTGTTTTTCGCATCTGCGAATAGTGTCAGAGGGACCTTGAGTGCTGCTATCTTTGGACGAGGGATCCTGTTCCTTGCCACGTCGAAAACGAACGATTTGATTCTGGTAAGCAGTCGCGGTGTTCGCTCAGGTCGAGTATTTATTTATGATGAACGTTAGACATACCGGCTATGGGTTATTTTCAACAAATCCATCCGCGTAATGGCTGTCCCGTATTTTATTTGGGTTGGTTATCTAGGTATGCACCGATCCTGTTTCATACTGTTCTGGTGGTTGGACTCATAATGACCTCAGTGGCGGGTATTGGCCTTATTGCTAATTATATCATGTTCAGGAAGATTTCGCGCGAATGGTTCCTATGTTTTATCAGTCTATCTATAGCGTGAGTCCTGATAGTACCTGAACCGAGTTCGGTGCCTCTGACTCTCATCAAGTATGAATGTCTATTTTACAGGTAAGGTTTATATGCATATTGTTTGTCTCCGTGGCATGACTAACGAGCCCTCTAGGTTCTGTCTTAACCAAAGTTAGGCAGGTCCGGAAATTTACTAGCTACGGAGGCACTAATATAACCGTAAGTCATACCCATGGATCGGTCTACGGGATGTAATCTCATTAATGACTCCAGAAAGCTATGACGATTGTTATCGAAAGCGCGGCTATATATACGTATGTTCTAAACCAGTGACCAAAGAGGCCGCATTACTCATGATGCTTAGAATCTGGTTCTTTGTTTTGGTCGTTGGTTCTGCGGTACCCAATGCCGGCCTCCTCGCAGGGATTTTCTCAGAGGGTGCAGCCCCTGTCGCTGGTATTGTAACCATGCTGGTAAACGTCCGAGTAGGACTAGGGTGGGCATGGGATGGATCTATGGGGCAACAACAACAACAACCAAATTTGTCTGATACCGTCGAGGAAGACATAGGACAGGCCGTGTCCTCGAGACAAAGCTCTACTGAGTAATGGCCAACGTCTCGCCGAGTTCGATTTGGGATGGAAATAAATCACGTATTGTTGGGATGGCTACGCAGACTGCTCTCCTGATCATTTCTTTCGGTACAGTCCCTGAGCTCATTTGCGGGGGTGGCGCAATCGACTTTGGTAAATTTATTGTTGGGTTCTCTATTTATACTGTTACGTGTGGACCTGCTATGTTACCTGCACTCTTCTGTGTCGAACACTTATGTACTGATGTGCACACGGGACTATTTATATTCGGAGTTTTTTTCTTCATCAATGTGACACTAAACAATGAGGGTCGGGCGGGCCTCATACTTGTGTGGGGCAATGCTGGTGGGGCGAAAAGGTTGGGGCAACGCAGATTTGAAAAGATATCTAGACCCAACGAAGTGTCGTTGCGGCCTGATTAGCTACAAACTTCCGTGTAGGTCTATATGCTATGAAGTGTTTACTAAAAGTTCAAGTAGGAATTTCATAATCAAAAAATTGGTCTGAGAACGGGATTTGGACGCTACGAGGATCGAACTCGTGATCTTATACAATCAGGAACCATGCAGTGTGTAACACTGTTTGGTGCAAAGCATACGCCATACCACTAGGCCAAGCGCCCGTTGGTATAGACTTAAGTGATGTTTTGCCAACTTCAAGGTTCTAATCTGGAAAAATTGTGATCTAAACTTGGAATACAGTTTGTGATCTCTCAACACGGTTGTACATCCCCCCACCTTTCATCCTTTCTATTCGCAACGCTTGGAGCGGGGAGTTGACAAATATGGCGGTACTGAAAGCCAGTGAAAAATCGAGTAGGTCGAATGTTGGTGCACCCGCGCAACACAACCAGTCGAGTCGGAAGGGGAAGAAGGCGTGGAGGAAGAATGTGGATCTTGGAGACGTGGAGGAGGGGTTGGAGAGTTTGAGAACTGAGGAAAGGGTTACTGGGTGAGTTTCGTTGGCGTGCTTGTCCAGGGTCTTTTCTGGGTGTTGATTGGTGGTATAGGAAAACACTACAAAAGACGGCTGACGATGAGCTTTTTGTCATTGATACCGCTGGAGATGCACAAGGTGTGTGTTTGATACTTTGTTCCGTGTAAAGAATGGGGTTCTAATATATGTTGAACGTATGTGCTGGTTCTATTCGTTCTAGTCCGAAAATCCCTTCCGCCTCGATTCTCAACATCTGCCCTAACATCTACGAAAATCCTCTCGCAGCGCTCAGCTGTACCGGCCGTGTTTTCACGCACGACGTCGACGAATGCTGTTGATAGAGAAAAGAAGCGGAAAATGTCGAAGGAGGAAAAGGACAAATTATTGAGAATTGCGAAGAAACCGAGGAAGGGACCGTTCAATAGTGTGCTAGATCCTTCAGAGTATGAGGCAGGGGCTGGAGTGGTGGAGTTGAGTAAAGCGGTGAAGGAGAGTGGAAGCTATGATCCTTGGGCTGTTGCTCCTGAGAATGAGGAGGAAGAGGAAGATGACCTACCGAGGGTGAAAAAGGTCAAGGTGAGTGCTGCATATTTGTTTGGTCTGTACGGGGACTGTTCCTGAACTGTGGTATGCAGGCACCCATAACGAGGAACCTACGAGACCAGATTGCTATCCCGGCTGTATCTGAGCCACATCAGGGGACATCGTATAACCCACCTGTAGATGCGCATCAGGAGCTTATCCTTCAGGCGGCGGAAGCGGAAGAGAAGCGGCTGAAGCAGCTGGATAAGCACTCTGAGGTCAAGGCCAAGATGGAGAAAGCACGACTGGCCGATGACGGAATAGTTGGGGAACTCGTCCCTGGAATGAAGATTGATGAGGTTGTAGATGAAGAGGATGTGAAGGAAGAAGAGGTTGACGCTGTGATCGCGAAACCTCGTTCTCTGCAGAGGAAGACGAGGATGCAGAGGAACAAGGAGGCCAAGATGTTCGCTGAGGTACGTTTTCGCTTTCATTTAGCGTAGTTTTGTGGTGGCTTATACTGGTTGTAGAAACGCATCTTGGCAGAAAAAGCAGCGAACAAGCGGCTTCTCGCTTCAATAGCTCTCGCAAAAGGACTGAGAAGGTCCACAGCCAAGCTAATAGCTGAACGTGAACTGGATCACGCGCAGAAAAAATTGGCTCTGAAGGATAGGCTGAGACGACACGGTCTGGCTGGACAAAGACTGGGGAGACATAAGGTGCCGGAGGAACAGCTTGAGGTGCAGTTGGGCGAGGATCTAAGCGAAAGCTTGCGAGGGCTTAAGGTGCGCTTTTGTGCGCAACTAAATGGAAGATCTTTTCTGACGATACCTGCTAGCCCGAAGGAAATCTTTTCCGTGATAGATTTCTTAGCTTACAACAACGAGCGCTTATTGAGCCTCGCGTGCCCGTCGTGTAAGTGCCCACCCTTTTGACTCAAAAATTTTGGCTGACTTTTATTCTGCAGACCCAAGAAACATAGGGCGCGGATTATCGAGTACGAAAAGCACGCCTGGAAGCGATTTGAGTAGATTTCTATGTAGCTATGTAAATCAGAGATCAGAAGCCGTGGGAAAGCTCATTAGTTGCTACTGACCGCCATGGACGTTGACCTCACCGACGAGCAGGTCGCTGCCGCCGCCCAGCAGCAGGCTAAAAAGCCAACAATAGTGCCCGTGGACGACGCGCACCCGTTCGATCTCGAGAGCTACATCTCAGGCTACACAGGCACGTCCCACACAACCTGAGTACACCCAGCCACAACAGCCTAACACACGACCATGTCTACACGCACGCAGGAAGAACTGCCATCGATCGTCTCATACATATCGTCAAAATATGCCCAGCTGCAGCCACAGACGCATTCAACCTCGCCGTGCAGCATATCCACCAGTCGCGCGACGCATCGCTTTATCAGGCATTGATGACTGAGTATGAACATCTCGCAGAGAATCCGGTCGTAAAGGAGTCATATCAGCTGCCGAATCCACTGGAAATCGCACAGCTGGATACGAAGTGGGTGGATGAGATCTCGGCCAAGAACCAGTCGGATAAAGTCAAGCTGGAGGTTGAGCTCAAGACTTATACCAATAATATGATCAAAGAGAGTATCCGGGTGAGCGTTTCGCGTTTTCTGGCACCTGCTTGGTTGTGCTGATTTCTCAAAGATGGCACATAGAGATTTGGCAGAGTTCTATCGGTCGATTGGGGAATACCAGCAATCACTTAGACATCACACAAAATCTCGAGAGTTCTGCGCCACAAGCCAACACGTCCTCGACATGTGCCTCTCCGTCCTCGAAGTGCGTCTCACTTGCATTGACTTTCTATGACCTTATCTAACCTCGACGTCCAGCTCCTCATAGAACAACGCAACTACTCCCATCTCTCTACCTACGTTTTCAAAGCCGAAGCCGCACTCGACGCGACGGCTGCTTCTGCGGCCGGCAATGGTGGGGCAAGTGCAACTGCACCAGCATCTGGTGCTGGTCCTTCAACTAGTGGTACTGGTCCGAATGCGAAGAAGAGAGCACCCACGGAGAAAGAAATCGTGCAATCTAAACTCGACTTGGCCTCAGCATTATCCCATCTGGGACAGGGGAACCACGAGAAGGCTGCACAGTCGTTTTTGAGGATAGGAGGTGCGAGGGAGTTGGGAGATTGGGTTGGCAAAGTGAGTTCACATGCTTATCTGTGGGCTATATCTGACCATTGCGTTCTTCAGTTGGTCACACAGAGTGATATTGCGATCTACGGAACTCTATGTGGTCTCGCATCGATGTCTCGTGGCGCAATCAAGGTGCAGCTACTGGATAATCCCGCGTTCGGCCTGTACATAGAGCAGGAACCATACGTTCGCGAACTTCTTGAGGCATATATCAACAGCAACTTTAAGACCGCTCTCGAACTCTTATCGAGATATTCTGTATGTTTCATTACGTTTTTCTCTTGTTTTATATCGTTGATACTGTGATAGACGCGCCACTATATCGATATTCACCTCTCGCAACACGTCCATGGCCTCACGAGCCTGATCAAGAATAATGCAGTGGTATTGTATTTCCAACCTTTCGCATCTATCAAGGTATCTATTTCTCGCCTTCGTTCTTTACGGTCACTCAGTACTTTACTAGCTCGACCGTATGAGCCAAGCATTTGGCTGGACAGTCGACATGGTTGAGGAACATATTGTCAACCTCATCCAATCTGGTGAAATTCACGGCCGAGTTGATAGTCAGAACAAAGTGCGTTTGCTTGCATACTGACTCACGGATCGTACTTTTGACCGCGCTTCGTAGATTCTGTATGCGAAGAAAACTGATTATCGTGGCGATTTGTTCGCTCGGACGATTCAAGCTGGGAATGATATTCTCTCGGCGAACCGCAAAGTGTTGTTAAGGATGCGGCTGTACGTGTTAAATTTGAGTCTGTTCTTCGCTTCTGAGTTCTGACGGACGATGTTGGTGCAGGCAACAAGCTGATCTGATAGTTAAAGCGCCGAAAGGGCACCCACAGTCATATGGAATGGTGCAAGATTATTATGGGGAGTGAGCGGAGTCAGGAGTGTGGTATAATCATTTGTTTGGTGAGAGCTTCGGAAGTCCGGGAGCTTTGTAAGATTACTGTTATAATCACTCATCCTAAGACGTCTTTGTTATGACCCTCGAGCGTTTCCCCGGTTAGCATGGAAGAGGTCTAAGTATGGGCTCCCTGTAGGCATAGGTGCGGGGGTGAAACGTTGGTGTGACTGTTCAATACGAGAGATGCACCAGCCCCGCACAGTAACAGCCCCGATGCTGTTCTGACATCATTCCATTGTTACTAATCTGTTCTAACATTGGAGAACCGGGGGATCGGTGCGCTGACGAGGGACTTGAGAGATGTTAAAATAGCCCTAGCTGCAGGGACTCAGATCATCATTCACCCGAAGATGATATATCGCAATCACATCTTCCAACTCATCCTTTTCTCCTCTTTGCTCCGGGGCTCCACCTTATCCATCGAGGTACTATGTTAATAGTTGTGATATGAATAGGTGAGTGCTTTGCTGCCGCGGCCTCTAGACCAGTAATCATCCTGCCCATCACCAATCATCTATAAATTCTTCCCAGTGATGATAGAGCACTCACCTCATCTCACCATCCTCATCCAGTGACTGATCGCAAGTCCATACACACACCCCCCAAAGAACGATCCGCTGGATCAATCTGGACGTACTTGAACCTCAAGTCAACTCCCCAGAAACCCGTCATGTATCAAATAAAGTTATATTCTGGACATGCCGGTAGGCCATCTTCGTTGTGTAAAAATAACAACAAGACTCAATCTCTCCAGTAACGCATGAGAACTGAGATGGCGAGTACATTTAGAAGCTCTCTATATATTCTACTTAGTGTACCCATGATGACGCAACGCAATACAAAAGAAAAATTCTATCTATCCCCGTCGATGCACGATTGTACGCCTGTACACCTCATTGTCCACACAAACAGTCAAAGCAAGCTCGGCGCCTCGACGCATGCTTGTGAATTTAACATGCTGGGCGCTTGGGCGATACTCCTCATGCGGTAAATCGATTGGCTTTGAATTTTTGCCCCCTACATGTTATCTACAACCCTGATCACCTGAACCGAGCTTCCAGAGACTCGAGCCTGTGGGATGGGC